AAAAAAAAAAAAAAAAAAAAAAAAAAAAAGTACGACCATGCTGGGTCAGACCTGATGTGGGGCTCGGCCCAGGGCGGACTGGCCCAGCTGCATCCATCCCTTCAACCAGTGGCTCCTTGCAAACAACTGAGGGCTGTTAAATGAGTTTTTTTGTTTTTTTTTTGTCATTAATTCACAACTATTGCTAAAAAATGTGCACCAAAAGTGCACTGTTGTATCCAACAGATAGAAAGGATTTTTTAAAAAAGCTGGCTGCTCTTGTAAGGGAGAAAGACTCATGGGAAGATGGCATGTCTTTGCTCCCTTCTTCCAAGTGCCAGAGGCAAAAGCCTTTTTGGAGGAGGCTGCCTGCCTGGAGGGGATTATGTCTCTACAGTTGTGTAGATGAGAATGTCTCCAACAGCGAGGTCTGGATCCAGGCTCACTCACTGCCTCCCACTGGGCCTGTGAAGATGCACAGAAGACCCCCATCCCTTCCACAGTCCCTGCCATGGGCACAGGGACACAAGCCTGGAGGGAGCTGCCCACTGAAGGCACTTGGGCTCTGGCCTCACCCCAGCTCGTCCCCTGCAGTTTGGGGGGCCATTGCTCCAAACACAAGTGACCTTTGGGGCGAACCCAAGCATGCTTTTCTGCCAAAAGTTGAAGTGTTCATCCCTAATAAGTTATAGTCTGTACAAGATCCAAGTGATTCTAGGAAAGCTTTAGACAGAACAGTGAACAGAAATCTGGATGTAGGTACAACAAAAACCACACGAGACTTTGAAAAAACAAGTATGTATACTTCCAGGATATGAGCATCAAATCCATTCACTGTGATGTCCTTTTCCTCTGACACCATATATGTTAGGTAGCATGTAAATGAAGTCCAAATTTCATCGTGGCCTTAAGTGTTAAATGGTGTCATGCTGCTGACCCAGAGCAAGAACCTGTGTCAACTGGCTTTGCCTGTAAATAAAAGGACACAGTGGAGGAAGTGGAACAGCTGCGTGTCCCTGTTGGTGCAGCATAACCTGCAGCGTGGGGCAGCCTTGCTGGGCACGTGTCAGGTGAGCGCTAGTCTGGGAGTCCATGCGCTATGATCCAGCACCTGGGATTTCAACACATCTTCCTACAGGAACACATCTGAGATGCCATTTGAGCACAAGCCCAACAGTCACCATTTACTGTGAAATGGGTTGGCTCTTGAATTGTGCAACAGCAAATTCCTATTAAAAATAACTCTTAAATGGTGAAAACTGTTTTAATGACAAACTAGGAAAAAGCCCTCAGAGGTACTGCACGCATGGAATGTACTCTCAGCAGCTACAGAGTGCCTGGGTTTGAAGTTGAAACACAGTGACAGGTGTGACCCTACCCGTGTCTCTAACAAGTGCTAACAAAGATGAGGTCCTCTGAAACGAGAGGAGGAAGCAGTCCGCGCTGGCCTGCCATCAGTTCTCTGTACATCTCACAAGACAGTCTGTGCAGGGGCTCTTCTGCCCTGCTGCTCGCCTCCCAGGGGACAGCTTAATCTACACAAGGAGAGTGGTTCCTAGTTACATCTCAGATAGTCACCGCAACTCAGAGACTCTCACCAAACTGGCCGTGAGCAGTCTCGCTCTGTCGGGGCTCAGAAGCCTGGTCATAAATGAACACCCGGGAGAGCCGGCCGAGCCCTCACATGGCCTTCTGGCGGTAATGCAGGGTGAGGTCACCACCACTCTTCCATATGAAGTGTTTCACTGTTCGAAGGTCCATATTTGGATCCAAAACCTGAACAGCAAAATGTGAAGAATAAACAATGTCAAAGCCTCTAGCGACCAAGATCCTCCTTGTTAACTCAGGGACTCTGCCCAGGAGACCTGACTGTCCTCTCACCCACACCTGGCAGCTGCTCTTGCTGACACAACTGCCATGTGTGCACGCAGGCGTGAGTCGGAGCAGCAGCAAGGGCAGCTGGTGTGGCTCAGCCAGAAATGCCACTGTCAGCCATTCGGCTGCAGAAACGCCTTGGGTGCATCTTTATAAGAGAGCTCCACATCAAGTTGTAAACTAACACAACAGATGCTGCTCGGCCAATTGAGATGATCCTTTGTCTTTCTCTTGTCATAAAAAAGAATGCCTCAGCACATTCTGTGTGTATCTGAATCTCCGTGGCCCTTTCTCAAAGACTTCCCCGGAAGTGAACACACCGTTTTAGGACAGGGCCTCACCGACAAGTGGCAGACCCAGTGCTCCTTTGTCTCTCTAAATGCAGAAGCCCCTGAAAAGCAAAGACTGGGGGATCATGATCACACTAATTTATTTAACTCTCTGAGCATCAGCATGGAGAAAGAGACTGACCTGGTCCTGGCATAAAAGTTCAATTTTCTCCTCTGCCAGCACAGCAATATCTTCTTCTTTTTCCTGTTCTCCTGGTTTTTCATTACTTGAAGAGCTAGTGGTTTGAGACTCATTATCCAAGTTGATGATTTTCTCATAAACATGTTCCATGACTTTCCGGACCTGGAGCATGTCACTCGCAGAAAGTCTATCTCTATAAAAAGCAAGGGCGGATTGTGACATCAGGAAATCACTGATACTATCTCTTTCATGTTTTTTGGTATTAACATTTGATAAAAACATACTGTAGAAACATAAACCAATGAATGTGTTTAGTCATTGTCTTAATTCATTCATAGAATTGCCTACGGATTTCCAGTGTCCTCCTAAGATACCTTATGTGCAACTGAGTTAAATATGTATCCTTAAAACTGACATGTGCATGAAGAATGGCCTTGGTTTCTGCCCCTGAAGACCTCCAGAACAGGGGCAGACCACAGGCTCCTGGAAGTGCAGCCCCAGTGCCTGCCAGGCCCCACTGCGCTTGGTGCTCATTTCTCTCACAACCTCAAGCCAACACTGCCTGAGCTGCGGACTCAACCTGGCAGCAGGCTGGGAATCCCAGCTGGATGTCCCACAGACACCACATCAAACTCTACATGTCCAAAACTAGATTAATCAATTTCCTCACCCCCAAATCTACTTTTCCCGTATCTCTGATGTCAGTTAATAATGGTCAGATCAAGTAACTCAGGTTCAAACTCTGAAAGCCATCTTGAACATTAGCCATTGAAGCTAGATAAAGTGGTATTTAGACTTGCTTTAAAGTAACCCAGAGTGTGTGTGTGTGTGTGCACTAGCACGCGTGCATGTGTGCTCAGGCAGGTGGGTGGGAGGGTAGAGTTACATGCAGATGAAGCAAACTGTTTAGCCACGAGTGGACAATTACTGAAGCTGATGAACGCTTTGCATGTTTGGAGTTACCCTGAAAGAAGATTTTAAAGCCTTCCTGAGTTTACTTGCTAAGATTATACCAATCAAATCTCTAATTTCCTTCCCACCATCCCTCCATCCTATGCTGCAGCTTCACAAGTCCTCACTAGTTGTCACTATCTTGAAGGCCTGCCTTCAAGCCTTTCTGGAAAGTTCCAGCCAAAATACATTTCTTTCCCTATAAAAGCAGTTATACACAGACTGTATCCTAAACTATGAATTACGGCAAGAGACAAAAATCCATGTCTTACTTATTTTTGAACATCTGCAGCCTACCCCAAGTAGGTATTTGGTAAATAGTTAAACTGTATAAACTTTCAATATTATAAAACTAGCCTTAGATCTAGTACTTACCTTTTTGTTATTAAAAGCAACCATAAGGAATAAGAAGCCTGGTAATTAATTAGATCAAGGTATCATATGACACCACATTTACTTACTTTTTTAAGGTTTTTGCTCCTGAAGATGCATGAGGTTGGAGGTAGAAAGGAATTTTGTTGAATTTGGGCATATTTTTCTGAAATATTAAAAGTAAAAAAAATATAGTTCTGTTAGCTGATAAAATGGTGTCAACAGGAAAAACATGATTTACAAGTTGTTATTTTACATTTAAAAGTGACTTCCTATAAAACTTATAGTAAGCTATGAAATTAACCAAGTTAGCCTTACAGAAAATGGGTCAGAAAAATATAACATTTCATTTTGTAACAAAAGATATGTAAAGACAAGTCACATGTCAGGGGTGACACAGGGCTGCCGCCCGGCTCTTCTCAAACCACAATTCAAGGCATTAAAGGGAACAAAGTTTATTTTAATTCTTTAAGTTATGCAAACCTAAATCTCAATTCTACATTAAAATATTGGGGCTGATATCTAAAGGCCCAAACAAAAAATTAAGTGTCTTGAGAGAAACCCATGATGTTCACCTTTGAGCAAAAGGGCACACTGCATGCAGATGAGGCTCACCACCCAGCGCAAGGGCCAAGCAGGCTCTCCCACTTTCCTTCCTTCCCTCTGACATCAAAGTGAGGTCGGAGGGTTTAAGCAAGAGTGGAAACTTCAGCCAACCACCTAGATGTCTACCATGAAGTAAATCACATACTTACTAGATGAAGGATAAAATTAACTGGTCATCTTTGATTTGGGTATTAATCCCCTCCGAGCCTCCATGTCATATCCTGTCTACATGTCTCCTTTCAGGAATAAGCCACAGGCTGAAAATCAGCAATTCATCCAGGTGAGCTTCACACTAAAGGAAGTAGTGGTTTATGGGGAGCTCGGGCTGACCACAGAATATTCATATCCACCAGGTGTCACACTGGCTTCAAGTTCTTGGAGGAACCTCTGGGACAGACAACTAATGTTCTGAAGGTTCTAGAGATTAAATCTCTTTTCATATGGCTTTAGTAATATACAAAATGGGTCAATAGCACATAAGACTCTAGAAACAGACCCATGTGAATATAGAAATCTAGTATATGATAAAGATACCATTTCAAATTAGTAAGAAAAGGACAGATTATTCAATAAATTGTGTTGGCACACTGGCTATCCATTTGGAGAAAGTTAGCTTCCTACTTCATACCAAACAATAAATTCTAATAGAGGAAAGATTTAGATATAAACAATTATTATAAACATATTAGAAGAGAATGTGGGAGAACATTTGTGCTACTTCGGCATGGAGAATATCTAAGCAAAACATCAAACTTAGAGCCATAAAGGTTCAATCTGATTATAATAAAAATTTAAAATTCTGCCCAGCAAAAGACACCAGGAACAAAGTACAATTTCAACTGAGAGGCATATCTAGTCAAAGGGTTAATGTTTAACATGAAGAACTCCTAAAAATTGGTAAGAAAGACAAATACTCCCAACCCTGTCACCAAATGAGCAGAGAATACAAACAGGCACTTCATGGAAGAATCACCAACGGCCCATGCCTGTCTACAAGCACAGATCAAAAGTACACAGATTGGTGAAGATGCAGGGTGCAGGTGTAAACTGGCACTGCCTTTGTGGAGGGCATTTGGCAGTATCTGTCAAAATTTAAATGTGCATACTCTTTGATCCAGCAATTCCACTTGTAGGAATTTATCCTAAAAAGATGTATGTACCAGGATGTCCACTGAAGCACTGTTTGTAATAGAAGACACTGGAAACAACCTAAATGTCCATTACTAGGGCCTGTTATATCAAGTATAGAACATTTATGTAACGGAATACTGTACAGTCACTAAAAAGGAATGATCCACACGTACAGACATGAAAAGATGTCCAAGACATATTTTTAAGTGAAAAAAACCCCAAAGAACAAAACACAAAAACCACCCCAAACCCAAGTCGTAGAACAATATGTAAAACAGATTTTATACAAAATAAATGGTACATATAGATAAGATATATATATATATACACACATGTGTATGCATAGAAAAAAGTGCTGATGGCTCTGCATTCCAACTCTTAATGGTTACCGCCTCTGGGAAGAAGGGTAAGGAGTGAATGGGAGAGAAGGACTAGGAAAGGGGTGGGAGCTTCACTTTATTCCTTTACTATTTTCTTCAATAAGCATACAACATTCTTGTAATTAAAAACCAACAGACAGAACCAGATAAACAATTATCAATACTTCTGCAACTTTGGAATCATAGGGAAGAGGACTCCACTTGGCAGTTTAGCTCTTGTTAAGGTTCAAGATTACACAGTAAAAAGAGTTCTTGACTGTGCAATTTGGAAACATAAAAGGCAAAGTGGGAGTGGAGGGCACTCACATCCACAGTGATGTCAATTGCCCACTGCGGCGCCGTCTCGTTAAGAAGCACTGACTCAGTCTCGCCCCCGGAGTCTCGGCACAGCAGCCTGAACAGAATCCACAGGGGGCAAGTGAACAGTAAGCATAGAGCACAAAATCACTGTCAACCCGCACCAGAGGACCCAGCGTGTTCTTTCAGGACAACCCCACTCAACAGCCGAGAAGCGAAGCACAGCCAGGCAGAATGGCTTCCTCAGCTAAGGAGAGCAGGCCCTAACACTCAGGCCCCAGGTGCTGAGGCCAGGCATACCCTGCTGCTGCCTCTCGGGGCCCTTGGCGATAACAGGAAACCAGGTCCAGGCAAAGAATGCGAGAAAGGCCCTGCCAGCACTGCGGTGCTTAGCACAGGCCTCCCACAGCAGGGTCAGGGTGATTTTGGCAACCATACTCTCAGGAAAGCACATAAAGGATGTGAATTCTATGCTCAAGGGCCAGACAAGCACTTTTCTTACTTCTAACCCTACAGAAGAGTCTAGTGAGCTCTCCCTTGTGACTCCAGAGGCCAACCTTGCTGGCAGGCTGGAGGCAAAGCCAGTAGCTCTTCCCTGCAGGGCTGCAAAGAGCCTTGTGCCTCAGGTTGGGCCACTGTTAGACACAAGACTTCCCAGGAGCAGCCCAGTCCATCCTCAGGGAAGTCTCCTACACTGATGCTGTCTTTTGGGCAGGGACTTCTGGTGGGGCCATCACCCCCTGGCCCCATCAGTCATGCTGGCTAACTGAGAGAAAGTAAGTTCCTGCAGAAACCACTAGAGAAGCTGCCTGGAAGCAAGGTATTGACCTTGCTGTAATACTAGAGGCTCAGCTCTCAATGAGAATGTAGTTTAATAGCATGAGACACTTAACTAGCTCACAGGGAGAAGCAGCTTCCCATCCCAGCACCCTGGAGTTAGTAAGCAATCTGTGACATCTGTTCAGATCAGTGCTTCTCAGCAAATGGGAGGCTTTCCTAGGCAGGGCCGGCAGCTCCCCTGCCATACCTGAACAGTGTGCGACCTCCAGCTTCACCGAAGATCACAGGGGTGTGGGGGGGCACTTGAAAATACCCATTTCCCTTCTGCACTCGGTTCTCCTGCTCCCCATTTACTAGGAAAAGAGGCAGATGGTGTTGGTATCCAAAGTCAGTGATAAACACACAGATTCTACACATTTTGTTTCCACAGCCTTCCAGCATTGCAAGAATTTTAAAGTAAAAAATCCTGTAAGTCAGCCAGAGTCAGAAATAAAGGTAAAAAAACAAACACAAGGTAAATTCCTGAAAATAAGAAATATGGCAACCAGGGATGTACCTCATGAGAAATAACTGCATTTTAGAGGATTTTTAATAGAGGAGATTAATGTTTGAGATTTGAAACGAAAACACAACCACCTACTCAGCCAGAGGGAAGTTACCTAGGACAGACTTGTTTAAAAATAGTGATCTGCTCTTTTTCTGGTACAATATCAGGCTCAGAAAGATTTCTTGGGCCAGAAGAAAAAGTTAAATTTAATGGCAGCCACAACCAATGGCAGAGGCACTAGTAAAAATAACATCCTCAGAGCTCACACTCATTTTTATTGTTCTCTGCAGGTCCCACTTCACTCTGTTTTCTTTCTATCTCTGAGCCCAAGTACAGCTGACTCCCACTCAGGTGCCAGCCTGTCCACAGGTAACTTCCCTAATGAATCTGGAGCATTTCCCTCTGAAACCCTACTGCTCTCGGACTCTTGCAGAGCATCTAACCCTCATCTCTGATCTCACACTGCTTCATATAAGGAGCCCTCTGCCTGACCAGAATGCCAGGCCCTGAAGGACAGGGCCCAGGCCTATTCATGGTCATTACCCCACTGCAGCTTGCTACAGGCCTCTGAATATTCGAGCTGCTCCCCAAGTGCGATCCAAGCAACCCTGGGTATCCAGTGAGCATGGTGCATGTGCACATTACCAGACAGGTGGAGTGTACAGTTCCCTGATGTCTGGGGAAGCAGGAGAGTGGGCCCCACTCTGCATTTTCTAGGACAGTTTGAGTTTAAGGATGATTTCGGGTTTCCTATGACTTCTTCCTTACCCCCCCATCCAAAGCCTGGATCCAAGGGGTGCTGACTGTCCACTGTTTTTTGATTACTTAATCTTTATTGTCTGCTTGGGACTCTGAGGGCATCCTGTCTGACTGTCATGTTATAGATGGGGAAGGCCAAGCCAAGAACAGGAAATGACATACCCATAGCTACAAAGCTGATAAATAGTACAGTCCACACCAGAACCCAGCTTCTTTAACCCTCTGTGGAGAGATCTACCTAGTTTCTCTGGCTCACTGTCCACTGTACAGTTCTGAAGGGGAATGAAGCACACCAAGTGATAGAAAAGCCACCATGGGTGGTGGGGTCAGTGCCCTTTCTGGCAGGGACATCAGGAGACATGCTTTCAGGGAAGCATGTCATCCAGGACCAAGTGTCTGGCAGAAGGTCCTCACCGCTGCTGACCACCACAAGTGGGCCATCCTCAGTGACTCTGCAGCCAAGTAAGCCCTCAGACGTAGGGCTCAAGGACTTCCACAAGCTATAGGTTACATATAAGCTGTGACACTTAAGTTTTCTTTCCCCCCTTTCTCTAATCAAACTGAGCCAAACTCATACATTCAAAACGTGTTCTCCTCTGCTGCTACAGAAGCTACTGCCACTGCCTGTGGCCCACATGGCTTCTGAACATCCTAAGTGACATGAATTCTTACCCGTCCTTATTCATTCACATGACACTTCTTAAGCTGGAGTTAGACTTTTCTCAAATAGTCAGAGCCAAGATCAGGTAGGTCCCAGACTAGGTAATATTCACCTTTCAGGCCAGTGTGAAGTATGGCTACAAGGACAAACCTGGCTTCCTGATGCAGCTAGTTCTCTAGCTTGAGATACTCTGAGAAGTCACTTTGGAAAAAGCCTGCTAGGCTGCCTACTTTTAAGGACAAAGGTCATTCGACTAGATAGGGTTTATTCTGTCTGCCTTTGGCATCTCACTCATAGAAAGCTCTCTGGGAATCTCAGCTGGGATGAGATGGATATTCTGCTTTGGGATGTGGGAGGGATAAATTGGGCACACCACAAATATTTATCATGTCACAATTTAGCAAATGCTTAAAATATTTCTTAAGCATTCTTAGGATAATAAGCAGTTTTAGAATCTTTAATTGCCAAGTAATTTTTGATCAACTGTCTTGATGTTAAAACACGAACCATGGTTTACTTCATTTTCTTCTTCATCCATTGGATTCACATGTGTTCTAGGCCAATATTCTAGGAGTGCCTGGAGTAAAAGTCCTCCTAAGTTCACTGCAAAAGAGGTCATTGAAAAGAAAAGACATGGAAAGGAGTTTTAAGATTTAACCTAAAGATGGAGGAAAAGAAATAAAAATTACAAGTTTCCACATATTCTGATGTCAAATTCTTAACCCAATGCAATGATGTTTAAAAGCAAGACTTTATATAGATTTTGCCAAGTCTATTATAACGTTATCTTAGAATGTTTAAAGCAGTGATAATATGGAGCAGATATTCTATTTGGATGTTCAGATATTGCCATTCTTTGTGGGAACTGTATTCTTTAAAGGGCTTTTTCCATATAAAGCTGCTAAGACTATACTAACATATGTGAGGAATTTCTACATGCTACATTCTAAAGAGAATACTAACCAAAGATACAATCAACAGACCCTTATAAAGATGTGTATCTTCTCACTATATACAAAAATGAACTCAAAATGGATTAAAGACTTGAATTTAAGACCTGAAACCATCAAACTCCTAGAAGAATGCATAGATGGTGAGCTCTTTGACACTGGTCTTGGCAGTGCAAAGGCAAAAAAAAAATAAACAAGTGGGACTACCTCAAACTAAAAAGCTTCAGGGCTCAAGGACTTCCACAAGCTATAGGTTACATATAAGCTGTGACACTTAAGTTTTCTTTCCCCCCTTTCTCTAATCAAACTGAGCCAAACTCATACATTCAAAACGTGTTCTCCTCTGCTGCTACAGAAGCTACTGCCACTGCCTGTGGCCCACATGGCTTCTGAACATCCTAAGTGACATGAATTCTTACCCGTCCTTATTCATTCACATGACACTTCTTAAGCTGGAGTTAGACTTTTCTCAAATAGTCAGAGCCAAGATCAGGTAGGTCCCAGACTAGGTAATATTCACCTTTCAGGCCAGTGTGAAGTATGGCTACAAGGACAAACCTGGCTTCCTGATGCAGCTAGTTCTCTAGCTTGAGATACTCTGAGAAGTCACTTTGGAAAAAGCCTGCTAGGCTGCCTACTTTTAAGGACAAAGGTCATTCGACTAGATAGGGTTTATTCTGTCTGCCTTTGGCATCTCACTCATAGAAAGCTCTCTGGGAATCTCAGCTGGGATGAGATGGATATTCTGCTTTGGGATGTGGGAGGGATAAATTGGGCACACCACAAATATTTATCATGTCACAATTTAGCAAATGCTTAAAATATTTCTTAAGCATTCTTAGGATAATAAGCAGTTTTAGAATCTTTAATTGCCAAGTAATTTTTGATCAACTGTCTTGATGTTAAAACACGAACCATGGTTTACTTCATTTTCTTCTTCATCCATTGGATTCACATGTGTTCTAGGCCAATATTCTAGGAGTGCCTGGAGTAAAAGTCCTCCTAAGTTCACTGCAAAAGAGGTCATTGAAAAGAAAAGACATGGAAAGGAGTTTTAAGATTTAACCTAAAGATGGAGGAAAAGAAATAAAAATTACAAGTTTCCACATATTCTGATGTCAAATTCTTAACCCAATGCAATGATGTTTAAAAGCAAGACTTTATATAGATTTTGCCAAGTCTATTATAACGTTATCTTAGAATGTTTAAAGCAGTGATAATATGGAGCAGATATTCTATTTGGATGTTCAGATATTGCCATTCTTTGTGGGAACTGTATTCTTTAAAGGGCTTTTTCCATATAAAGCTGCTAAGACTATACTAACATATGTGAGGAATTTCTACATGCTACATTCTAAAGAGAATACTAACCAAAGATACAATCAACAGACCCTTATAAAGATGTGTATCTTCTCACTATATACAAAAATGAACTCAAAATGGATTAAAGACTTGAATTTAAGACCTGAAACCATCAAACTCCTAGAAGAATGCATAGATGGTGAGCTCTTTGACACTGGTCTTGGCAGTGCAAAGGCAAAAAAAAAATAAACAAGTGGGACTACCTCAAACTAAAAAGCTTCTGCCCAGCAAAGAAAACCAACAAGAAAATGAAAAGGCAACCCACTATATGGGAGAAATATTTGCAAATCATCTATCTGATAAGGGGCTAACATCCAAAATATATAAAGAACTCATACAACTCAATAGCAAAAACCAAGCAATCCAAATGAGCAGAGAACTTGAATACATATTTTTTCAAACAAGACATACAGATGCCAACAGACATGCGAAAAGATGCTTAACGTCACCAGGGAAATGCAAATCAAAACAACAATGAGATGTCACCTCAGACCAGCCAGAATGACCACTATCCAAAAGACAACACTAACAAGTGTTGGTGAGGATGTGGAGGAAAAGGGACCCTAGTACACTGTTGGTTGGAATGTAAACTGGTGCAGCCACGACAGTACAAAGGCACCTCAAAAAGTTAAAAACAAAACTACCATATGATGTAACAATAACACGTCTGGGTATTTATCCAAAGAAAATGAAAACACTAACTCGATGTATGTGCCCCTGTGTTTAATGTATTTACTATGTATAATGGCCAAAATATGAGAACAACCTAAGTGTCTATTGACAGATGAATGGATGAAGAAAATGCGGTATATCAACACACAATGGTATATTATTCAGCCATAGAAAAGAATGAAACCTTGCTGTTTACAACAACATGAATGGGCCTAGAGGGTGTTAATGCTAAATGAAATCAGACAAGGACCATCTCATCTCATTTATATGTGGAATCTAAAAAAAAATTAAAGAACAAACAAAAAAGCAAACTCATAAAGAGCAGACTGGTGGATGCAGGGAGAGGCCACAAAATGGGTGAAGGAGGTCAAAAGGCACAAACTTGCAGTTATAAAGTAAGTCACATGCTGTATTGCACAGCATGGAGACTATGGTACCAGTGTTATAGAGCACATCTGAAAGTTGTGAAGAGAGTAGATTCTAGACGTTCTCATCACAAAGAAAAAAATACTATGGTGACATGTTAACTGGATTTAGTGTGGTGATCATTATACAATACATACAAATATTGCATCATACCGTACATCTGAAACTAATGTAATATGCCAATTACACATCAATAAGACATTTTTTTAAAAAGAGGAAAAAAACAGATCAAAGCTGTTTCCCAGCTTCCTTTTGTCCTAAATGCTTTCAGATTTCCAGAATGCTTCAAGAGTGGAGAGTGTGCTGTCTGTCAAAGCTAAACCACAGATTGTGAGAAAAAACCATATATATAAAAGCACAGAGCTAAGCCCAGCTCAGGTCTACCTTCTTTCTGGGAAGGAGGAAGAGAGGAGGGCCACGTAGACTCACGTTTTGGATCTGACCCATCAGGGCTACTGAAGCCGGCGTCTTTTGCAGAAACCCAAGCAGCAAAGCAGTCACTCTCATCCAAAGTGATCGTCAGCATCTGTCAGCAGGAAACCATGGTTAGCGGCACTCACCTGAATACAGCCTCCAAGTAAGTCCTTAAATGCCTGTCATCTGTAGTATTGGGCTGATGTACTGAGACACAAGTTCAGAAACAAATGTGCTTCATGTGATTCAATGTAAGTACAACTTAATTTACAGGGATACCAAAAGGTATTCAAACTGCATTTTGCAAGTTATCAACTTAAAAACATTTTTCCTTTCATTTAAAACATAGGACTTCGTAAATAATACTTATTTTTGAGCTAAACTGAAATTGTTCAAGGACCTCAAACTGTACACACATCAATTACTAACTTACCCCTGTTTTTAAGTCTACTGAGAACCAATTTGGCACATATACCATCTTAAATCTTTTCTTAATTTCATCTTCAAAATCCACTTTCCCCAGATCTTCAACTTTACATGCCTATACATCAAAATAAAAAAAAGTGTGATAATTATCAACATTAAGTGGTGAATTGATCTGATACTAAGCTATCCAAAATTTATATACATTTTCACATTGGTCTAAATAAAACAGAATCTAAAATACATTTTAAAAAGAATGCGGTCAAATATTTTTGTCTTAAAGCAAATTAACCTTTAAATAACTAGCTATTGAAATTTTAAATTAAAAAACCACAAAATATTCTTTCTGGAAATTTTAATTTCAATTTTGCTGATACTGACAGAACTTAGCGGGAAGCAATGTCAAATGAAGCAAAAAAGTCTTCAAGTAACCAAGCCTTTTAAGAGAACTACGAAGCTGCCCTCAGGTGGCAGCTATAAAATAGGTAGCAATTTTAAGTTTCTCCTTCAGGACCACTATAATCCTTCTTTCTCTCATTCCCTAAATGTGTGTTGTGTGCTCCCCTAAGTACGTCCTGAGCTTCCTTCCTCAGGCGGTATGGGGCATTCTAATTACAGCCCCACCCCGGTCCTGAACCACATCACAGGGGAGCCTTCCTCATGCTCCAGCGCCCTGGCTCCTTGCTGAGGGCTCCCCTTGCTGAGGGCCAGCTGTCTTAAAGGGTGACTCTGCTGCCTCTCTACAACCAGGCTTCCTGAAGACACAGACACCATAACTCCATCACCCCCCTGTAAAACCTTCTACTTCTTTGAGGCCCATGTTTTTAGCTGCAGTAAACCAAAAGGCATCTAAACTTCAGTTTGGTATTGAAGCAAGGGAATTTCTTTGCTGCCATCTTGCCATCTCTGTGGTCTCTGCCTCGCTCACTGCCAAACTGTCACCCAGAGACTTGGCTCCTGTCTGCGGTCCATCTTGAGTTCTTGCTTTCATCCTGGACAATACCGACAACGCGGTGGCTTCTCGAATCCTTGATGATATTCCTGCTACAAATGTACAGCTCCTGCCTCACAGGGCCACCCTGTCACCTGGATCCCCTGTCCCCACATGCCTCTGCCACATCTTTACTCTGCCCTGATCTCTGGCCTTGCCACCTTCCACCTCCCTCACTATCCCAGCTCATGACCTTGACCTTTACTCCTCAGAGAGGAAGAAGCCTAGACAAAAGCCCTCATATCTCTGCTGCCATTCCTCCTGGTACAAGGAAGAAGGGGCCCCTTTGTGCTGTGCTCTGCACCCCTCACATCTGCTTCTTGGAGACCTTGCACCATCCATCACTACCCTCTTTTATCTCCACTGACTTCTCCCTAGCAACAGTGAACCATGCTCAAATTTTTTCCATCTCAGAATCACCCAAACACCAAAACCCAACCTTCCCTTGGCCCTCTCATCACCCTGAGTCCTCTGCAGCCTCTGTCTGCCCACCTTACCAAGGTAAAGTCTAGTCAGACATCTGCACTTGGCCTGTTTCTTTACCTCCCAGTCATGCTCAACCCACTGTGTGGGAACTCCTCTCCCCAGACACCACCCTTGTACTGGTTAAATCCACATGCACATTACATCCCCTATATTATGGGGACTCTCTTAGGCCAGTGCTGCCAGCCCTGGGCTCCCTTCTGAAATACATCATCACTTCTGAGCCTCCATCAATTGGCTCCTAGTTTTCTTACCCCTTTTTATTATATACCTCTGTGGCTTCCTCCTTTTCGATCTTCCTAAAAAGGTGATCCTTTTCAGTATATTCCTTGGAAACTCTTGACACTGCCTATGGCTTCCTGCAAATCCATGAGCTGATGACTCTGGGTCTACTTCTCCAGCCCAGCTTTCGTCTGTGTGCTAGGCTGCACCGCTGTCTACCCAGGAGACAACCTTACCCAGAGAGCGCATGTTGTCGAAGAATCTCAAACTCATTATCTTTTTCTGACAACCCACTTCCCTCTGACATCCCCTGTACCACTTCACTCGCCAAATTGTCTCACCCAGAGACGTGGGGCTCACACAGCTCCTGCCTGTCTCCTACAATAGTCAGTATTGTCCAGGATGAAAGCAAGAACTCAAGATGGACCACAGACAGGAGCCAGGTCTCTGGGTGAGACAGTTTGGCAGTGAGCAAGGCAGAGACCACAGAGGTGGCAAGATGGCAGCAAGGTGGGCATGATTCAAGCATACTTACCCACAGGCCTGCATATCTAATGACATTTCGCCTAGAGCACTACAAAAGCCTACTATTACGTGCCAGCCACTATAATACATGCTTCTTGAACATCCCCTTGATGTCACCAAGAAATAGGAGCCACCCACATTTTAGAAATAAAACAGATAGAGAGATTCAGCATGGTCTGGAGATCACTTGGCTACTGGTTAGCAGAGCCAAGATTAGGATGCAGTTCCTCCCAACCCTGAGCTGACCTTCCTGCCTCTCTGTTGGATGTCATGTGTGCTACACCCTATCACTCCATCTCAAAACCTTAAGACCTAGAGTCTGGGTATGAGCAGCTGCTAGGGACACAAAAACACCAATTGTGGTGCATGCCAGCTCAGTCCCCATTTAAGCAGCCTACCTCCCGTTTACACAGCAGGAGTCTACTAAGGCTGCAGCTGATTAGATCAAAAGAGGATATTAGACCACGGGCAGAAAATCAGTAAGTCAACCTAAAGAGTAGCTGGCCTGCTTAGGTTTTGCTGGCTATCCGGACAGCACCAGATGCTGGGAAGTAGGGGTAAAGCCCAGCCACAAAGCAGGGCTAGGCCACATTGCAGTGGGCATCTCAGCCATAGTTGTGCTGAGAAGTCCATGGGACTGCTCCGGCCCCCCTTTACCCCTGCCATGGGGCCCCTCTCTGAAAGAAACGTGACTTTCTGGTCCCCTGACGAGCACAGCTCTATTAAACAAAAGCCAACCAGACTTTTGGAGCCTACTGTGATTAAATTTTCCAGCCAACTAAGGCCTCTTTTCTGGAGCCATGCTCACCAAACAACTGTTCTGTAACATGGCTTCCCACACAGCTGCCCACAGGGAGAGAAAATGCTGTCAGGCCAAGGTTTCTGTTTCAGAGACAATCCCTCTTCCCCAGAAGGAAGCTTATTTATCTTACTCTTTAGATCCAGAAGGTAACTTAGTGAATCTCTAAGAGCTTGGCCTATCCTTTCAGCCCTTCCTTTATAATACCCCACACCTTGAGGCCCACGCCCCACCCGCCCACCGCCAAATCATTATGCTTAAGACAACTGTCTTCCAGCTTCTTTCCCATTAAATGTATGACTCTGAATACGAAATTTTTCGGTTGAAAGTCATCTAAGATTAAGGTTCTTTAGGGAGCACCAAAGATAGGCCAACTCCAGGGCCTGCAACTCAAGATTGTTTGGGAAATGACTGGAATCTCGTTTTTCATCCTTAGACCCCTACTGCCCCTTATACCCACTCTAGTCTCCAATTCCAAGAAACTGCTCACTTTGCCCTGAACACACACCTTTCCTCTTGTGCTTTTGCTGTCCACTCTTTCTTCCTAAAAATGCCCTCCCATTAGCTATGTCTTGCCAATGGGTTTCAGTCCCAGGCAAATTCGCTATGGATTCAGTGTGACCAAAGAAACTGACAGCAAAACGTTCTTGGGGTGAAAGGGTTATATCCAACTTTATTTCCAGGTGGCAGGTCAGTCACTAGAATCCTATTCATGCAGAGCGAGTCTGTATGCAGCAAGCCAGTCTCTGTCTCTGGGCCTGTCTGCCCACACAGTCATCCTCTGGGCCTCTGCCTGCAGCCATCCCACACAGCCGTCCTCTGGGCCTCTCTGCACAGTTGTCCCGCACAGCCGTCCTGTCCTCGGCGCTACCACCACTCCAGCCTCTGCTCTGCTCTCCTGCCGCCTTGCAGCCCTGCCACCATGTCACACCCAGAACACTGGGCGGAGCTCTTTATATAGAGTCAACAGCCATGTATTGCCCACAGGTGTGCAGTGAGCCAGTCAACCAGGGCCAGGTGAGAATCCTGGCCACAGGAACTCTCATTTTATCCACACTCCACCCCTCCAGGATTCTCTCCTCTCAATCTATGTGCCCTTAGTCCTCTGTGATGGTCCCTGTGCAAGGAAGCTGGGACACTGTTCTCCAGCCTCCAGCAAAAAGTCTTGCAGACACACAGGCCAGACTCGTGGCTCTGTCTCTGACTTCTGCCTCTTCACTGCTGTGGTTTCAGGTGTTGCCATAGCTCCAGTAAGATCCTGCTTGGCTTCCCGTCTAATTTCCTTTCATCTACTCCTGCCCGTATCAAATCAACCCACATCTGGGTCCTCGTAACCCTCACGAGGCCCCTCACATTCCTCCTGTAAGCAACAGATCTTATTTCTTTCTGGGTTCTCATTGCTTCAGCTACTGTGTGTCACCTTGCACTTTGTAATCGCTGCCTCAAGGTGGGCTGCACTGTCAGGGAAGACAGCTTTCCCATCTCTGAGCCCAAAAGAACAGTTCCATCCACCCCTAGGTCCCACAGCCACCAGCTCAGCCTGAGTATAGGGACGGAGCATAGAGTGCTCTACAACCTGGGGAGGGGGCTGCTCCTCTCCTTGGGGAACTTTCGGTTGCTGGGTCTTTATTTTCTTTACAACCACTGGGCATGTTTTTAATACAGGAGGGGCCAGTGTCTCCGGCACCACCCCTTCATTCTTCCCCAGCCCCTCCATTTCTGGAGCTAATGGCACCTTTCTCTCCACTCCCCCAAGTGCCTCCTCTGCTACAGTGCCTCGCAACAATGGCAGCTCAGTCTTCAGAAGCTCTCTTACTTCAGCTCAATGCTTCACAGCTGACATTCTCATGCCACCTCTGCCTGTGCTTCCCTCAGGAGTTCATCTTTTTCCCTGATGGCCTCTTCCTCCTTCAGAGCACCTGACAGAGCTGCCATCTCATCTCCAATGGCACCTTGCTGCTGGTGCTCTTGTATCAATGCCATCTCTTTCTTCAGGGAATCCACAGAAGTTTGTACCTTGTGTTCTTGTGCCACCTCCTCCCGCATCGATGCCATTTCCCTTCTCAGGGAATCCACAGAAGTTTGCAGCTCGTGTTCTCGTGCTGCCATTTCTTGGGTCTCCTCTGTAGACCTTTTAAAGACTGAGAAGCAGCCAACCCACAGTCCCTGCTGCCTCACGGGCACTCTGCTTCTCAAAGGATCTGCTTACTATACCAAGAGCCACCCCTACTGCCTCAGGTGTCACCTCCACTTGCCTCCAGTCCTGGGGTGGGGCCCAGTCCTCTAGGAGACAAGCCACCTCAGACCACATACCCATTGGGGGACAATCCACTGTTTCCCCACTCACAGGGGCAGCCCATTGAAGCACCCGTCCCATAAGGGCAGCCTGTCTTTTCCCTTGGTTAACAATGAATCCTGCCGATTACACCAATTGTCTTGCCAATGGGTTTCAGCCCCAGGCAAGTTCGCTATGGATTCAGTGTGACCAAATAAATTGACAGCAAAACATTCTTGGGGTGAAAGGGTTATACCCAACTTTATTTCCAGGTGGCAGATCAGTCACTAGAATCCCATTCATTCAGAGTGAGTCTGTATGCAGCAAGCTGGTCTCTGCCTCTGGGCCTGTCTGTCTGCACAGCCATCTTCTGGGCCTCTCTGCATAGCCATCCCACACAGCCATCCTCTGGGCCTCTCTGCACAATTGTCCAGCACAGCTGTCCTCCGGGCCTCTGTCCTTGGCACTGCCACCACTCCAGCCTCTGCTCTGCTCTCCTGCAGCCTTGCAGCCCTGCTGCCACTGTGTTACTCCCAGAGCATTGGGCGGAGCTCTTTGTACAGAGTCAACAGCCATGTATTGCCCATAGGTGTGCAGTGAGCCAGTCAACCAGGACCAGGTGAGAATCCTGGCCACAGAAACTCTCATTTTATCCACAGCTATCTGCTGGAATCCTTTAAAAACTCCCCCTCAATGATTTATCCACAATGAAGCTCTCCTGATTTCTCTGGTTTTAAGTAATCACCCATGTCCACAAGCTATCCTGTCATCTGCTTATTCTATTTCTCTTTAAGGCTTTTATGTTCCCCCCCTTCTGTCCCTTCCACCAGAAGGCATCATGGGATGACTTTTCAGTCATCTATGACCCTCAACAGTTCTTTGCACACAATATTCACTCAACCCAGGATATATTTTTTGAGCTAATATACTAATAACACTAAGAAGGGACATCTGTCAGAACTCTAAAAGCAACCTTTTCAATTTGCCTATAAATTCTTTGGTGCTATTTGGACTGTGGTTGAATGGCTTAATACATCTCAACTATCCCAGAGGGAGTAGTCATCATAACATGACCCAGAGTTGTAACTGATGCTCACAGTGATTTACTTCATGCCCACAGCTGCAGTGACTTTGTATCTCCCTTCCCCCAACACGTGGCCATATCTGCGGACACTTTTGGTTGCCACAACTGAAGTGGTGGGGAGGTAGTTACTGGCATCCAGTGGGTAGGGGCCAGGGCTGCTGCTAAAAATCCTACAAGCACAGGACAGACCCTCTCTACCCCCCACCCTGCTATTGACCCCCAAGGAAAGATTTTCTGGCCCAAAATGTCAGTAGTGTCAAGGATGAGGAACTGTGATTTACACATTTTAAGATAAGGCAGCGTATAACAGTCTATAATATACTAAACAGAGAAAATGGTTCCATTCAAATTTTAGGTGCTTATAAAGATAAACTATTGTCTTATCTAATATTCACATAAGAAAGTATCCACCCCCAAAATAGGGTAGGTAACAATGCAACTAAATGTACTTACTATATGTAGTTACTTACATGTATGTTATGTATGTACTTACTGTCTTGGTTATTTCACATATATTTTACAATAAAAAATTAAGTGGATACATGATACAATAACCTGTATTCAATACAAAAAGACACTCACCTTTAATACATCCCAATATGCCACATTATTGTTGGTATCTTTGGTTAATATATGTCTCTTATCATTGAGAATGTGGCACTGAATAATACTAGCACCCCCTAAAGGAAAAAAAAAAGACATTTAGCAAAACAATCCTACTTTTAAATTCACAGTATGGCAGTAACTAACTGGCATGTAATAAAATAAACCATACTAGTCACCAGGAAGGAGACAGTGAATCAGAAGACTATATTAGCTAAGGTGACCTAGACCAATCAAAGGAAAGTTGTCTGATTTTAGTAATATAGATTAGAAGACTCCTTACTTCAAGGGGTTTCTAGTGGAAAAGCATGAAGGGCAAATGGTTGTAATCCATTGGGAAAAGACCAAATGATAGGAGATCTCTATTAGTCCACCTCTTCTAAACTTTTGCTTCCTACTTTCCTTCTCTTTTATGCCTCCCAAGTGGACATTCTATGTCAAAAGTAATAGCATGGACTCTAACTACAGATGAATGCACCCTTCATTACTCTGACACTAATCTCAAACTCTGACATTAAGGTCAGAGTTGCCACTCCCAGTTGTAGCATGCAGAAAGCAAGGACCAGATCTGACCTTTTCTGGCTTATGCCAAAAGACAGCATTAAATCCTATATATTGTACAAACAGTGCTGACTTTACCAAGACGATAACTATTCTGATGCTGGGTGTAAAGATTAACTCAGGAAAGTCCACTTTTAAAAAATTTTGGTATCATTAATCTACAATTACTAGGCTCCCCCCTTCACCAACGAAAATCCACTTTTTAAAGTCACGAAATAGCACTTTTAAAATGTTTTTCTTCTATTAAAAATCAACCAATAGGTGACAAGTCTTCTGTGGATATCAGAATTACATTTCCAGGAAAGTCATGGCCTGTATTTTTGTCAGTCTCTCAGTCGCTATAATTAGAGTCAATAGAAGGTATAATACCTGCCCTTCTTACTCACCTATAACAGCCTGGTCAGGTTGTGTACAGAGGGGTGGAACAGGGTTTGTGCAGTCATTGTCATACTCTCCAGAAGCTCTAAAGTTATGAATTCCCTTCAACGTCTAAGGAACAAAATTCACTACTTAATCATTTCATGCTTTATAAGCTTTGCTGATCTGCTTGAAGTGGCAAGAAATCAAAGAACAAATGAGAAAAACAAAATCAACCAAAAAACACGTAGTCACAAAGTACAGTTATCTACCATGATTTAAAAAAGCAAAACCAATATTAAAAAGGAATGCAGTCTTTCTGCAGATAACACTAGGCATCGTGCCTTCCAGGTAAAGCTACATTGATCTTAAACTGGCACGATGAAATTTAGACCAGATATATTTTTACAAGCACCGAGAAAGATTACTTGACTGGCATATAGAGAGGAATAAATGCCAACACTTTCTTTTCTGTTATCCACAAACAGTCTGGGGAGTAAGAAAACATAAATCTTCAATTAGCATTTACGAACTAACAGTACTTTTGATGACTTGTCCTCTATTTCTCTCTGTTTTCATGCAATGAAGAAAAAGAAAATGGATTTGGAAGCACAATTTTCTACTTTCTTTTATGTTTAGAAATAACGGAACCCTGAGATTTCCTGCTGTGCTGGCAGAGTCTCGCCAGCTGTTAAGAGGACAGCACTCCTACAGACCTTTCCTAACCCGAATGGTGTAAATCAGAGCAGCAATTACCATTTTGTAATGGCAAAAATCCTCTCTGCTCTCTTCGGGTTAGGGAAAACAGGTACTAACGTTCTTCTGTAACAGTGATGCGGCATAAAGCAAACTCTGGGGGTCAGGGGAACCTATAACCTGGCCTCTTATTTTCAAATGCAGCTTCACAAGTCAGAAGCTGTACTAAATAATATTTACAGTGCCTATTCTAAGCACTTTAAATGTGTATCTTGGTTGCTGACAAATAAGTCAGAAGTTTTATTTTCACTATTGCCTTAATTTTAGTAAAATCCTTGGGATCACACCTGCATTCAGGGGCTTTCAGACTTCTGTGACTGTCCAACAGCATGCTGAGTCAGGTCCACACTGGGCATTTGCTACTGGTATCTGGCAGATTGGTGGTACCGAACCACTTGTTTGCCAGGTATACAGTGGCTCACTTACCCATTTATTTACCGTGGACTTAGTTGTTGCAACCCAGATTGCAGGAGGGGGATCTGCTGATCTATCAAGCTCCATCTAAAACAAAGCACAGAAATATTGCTGCAGAATGCTGACCCTTCTGAATTGCCAGGACTAGCTATACACTATTAAATATCAACTGTTTCATTCAACATTTGTGCATTGACTATACCATGGCTTGTGTTAAAAAAGCTAGGGATGCACAAAAAAATGCGGGAGTCTCTTTGCTAAAAGGATTCACTGCCCTATAAGCTGTGATAGGGCTGACTTCTCATGAATAACTTTAAAACTCACAGTTCATGTGTGGTTAATTAAAGAGATCTAAATGGGTACAGTCCAAGGGATGACTTACCATGATATTTTGTTTATATATTTTCTTAGTAATAAGTAAATACATTTCTTTTTTCTTTGAAAATGTGTGTAGTAAAAAAACATTCTAATGATACAGCAAAAGTGAAAGGCACCCATGTAATTCACCCCTTTGCCTAAGGACAGAACACTTGTGAACTGCTTACGGTGAGTCCTTCTGTATTTTAAAAATACTATACATACACCTATGCATATATCACGCAGATGAAATCACCCTGCATTCACCCGCTATTCTTCCTGTACCACCTAACTGCAGGCTTGGAGTCCTAGGGACAGGGCTGAACTCCCAGCAAGTAGGAGCCCTCTTTAGTTCAAAGTGCTGTTCCTGCAGCATGTGGTCATGTCTGCACCAAGCTCTTTTAGGCGTTGCTCCATAGCCAGGAGCTCCTGGCAGCTGCAGGACTCGCGGTGCTTGTCCTGTCAGCCTGCATCCACACATGATGTGCCTACCATCTCAGCCTCAACTCTCTTGCTTCTCTAAAGGGTGAATGGTTTTGCCCAGTATGGTATAGTTCTACTTTAAAGAGCTGTATGCGGTCCCTTCTGTGTGAGCTCTTGGGCCACAGGCATCCTTTCAGTTTACCTCTATCTCTTTTCAGCCCTTCCTCCTACACCACGGTCCAGGTTTCAGACGTCACTTAATTTCCCAGGCGATGGGTACCCGCAGTTCTGTTTCTTGCTTTCCTTGTTTTCAGATGACTTCTAAGGAGAGTGTGTAGTGCCCATCTTTATGCTTCTATTTTAAATCTGGCAATTTCCTCAGTATTGTTTTAACGTGAGATTCTGTGATTATCACTGAAGCCTAACATCCTGCCGTATGATGCCTGGGCGTTTTTTAGTCTAAGCTTCCCTTTTAGCAGGTGTCAGTATGGATGGCTCATCAATACCCTTTACCCAACCCCAGACCCTGGTCATCAGGACTCCTTTGAGGCAGTAATGGTTTGGAGCATGAACCAGCTTGCCTTCAGGAGACTTGCTCACATCCTCCCTCTTGAGGCAATGGACACTTTTCCGCTCTGCTGCCTACTCACAGATGCCTGAACTTCCCATACTTCTCCTCTAAGGACAGGCTAGGAAAGCCAGGCTGGCTTGGGAGCAATGAGGGGCCATCTCCCTAGGGCTCACCAGGGGAGAGCTATGTTCCTGATATACCCAGGAAGTCACAAGTTCTCCTACAGGCCACTAATACAATTTAAAAATATCTTTTTTTACAATAGTTGATTCATGTTTTAACATAGATTTTGCTGTGTTTGGCTAGCAAGTATAACAATCTTAATTATAAAATGAAAATACATGACAAACCTTGAGAACTGGTGCTTTTTCTTCACAAATTAGCACCCGAATGTCAGGATTTCTTAAGTCTGTACAGTAAATCTTCCTGTCCCTTCCTCCAGAGTACACATGTGTGAAGGCATCATTGACCTGCAGGGCCCAAACACCTTCATCGTGGACCCGGTAGGTAGCTATACATCTCTGCTGGCCAAGAGACCAAAGGCGAATCGTCCCATCAGAACTGCCGGAAAGGCACTGGAAACGAAGAAAGTAAGCTTAGACACAGCCAAATCACTTTCCTGGGCTTCGCACTTGGCTGCTTCTGACTCCACATGCCTGTCACATCTGTATTTTTGCCTCTGATAGACTTCTAGAGTCACGCACCTTGGGCTGAGGTGACCACAGGAGACATTACAGGCGCAAGGAGGGGGAGCCTTTGAGCAGAAAGGCCTCTGTCCCCTCCTGGCTTTCCACCTGCAGCATCTGCATCCCTGGGAAATTGTTGAAAATGTAAATTCCTGAGGCCTATCCCAGACCTAATGAGGCAGCAACTCTGGTGGGGCCCAGCAATATGTGTTTTGACAGGCAACCTGGGTCACTCTGGTAAACTATGTTCAGCAAGCTTTGCGCTAGGCCTGCAGGTCTTTTGGGGTTCTGGGTCACAACTCTCTCTCATCTGTTCCCTCATAGCTCTGGATCCCTGATGGCCTGCCAGGTCTCTCAGATTCTACTGACAGGAGTCAGAAACAAAATCTAGTCCCAGGCTTATTGCTCACTCTGTGACCTTGGATATTTCCCATGTGAGCTTCAAGCTCAACATCTACTAATATACATGCTAACAGCATTCAGTTGACATTATTAATTCTGACAATTTCTAAAAGCTCAGGAGATCAACTATACAGAAGTTGCTGGCACACAATAAGGGCTGAGCACAATTGTGAGTCTGACAGAAACAGGCTGAATCAGCTACCCTGCACTGACATTCAGAATGCCTGGTGTTCTGTACTAGTTACCGTGGTGACCTGCACAAGAGGATAAAAACTTATTTCTTAGGGAAAAAAAGGCCCTGAGGAGAAAGCAACTGGCACTGGTGTATAAAATTAAGTTGGCAAAGAGCTTCAAAAAAGAGAAGATAGTTGTGGGCTTGGAGATTTGGGAAGTACTCGAATACAGGAGGCCTTCAGGAATATTAAGGATTTACTGGCATGCCCTGTAACTCGACGGGACCGTCAGAACTCTGGTGAACACAGACTGGGAGACTCACCCATGAGCTGCCAGGAGCACGAGTATTGTAATCACCCATTCCAACTAGTTCACAGGGGAACCAAGAGACTAACCAATAATGAAACTGCCAGGAGGAAGGTTACAAACAGACCTCCAGCATGTGTGAGAACTCTGACAATCTGATGGGAGGAAGGCAAGGAGGGGCTCCCCATTCCAGGCAGAGGTACTGCTGAGGTGGCAATACTGTCAGTAAAGCTTTGATCACTTAGCCCGGAGACCCTGTCTCTGTAGGGAGTAAAGTCTGATCACTTTATGCTGAGGAAGGCAAAGGTGATGGATGGGCTGGAAGTCCTCACAGCCCAGCGAATTGCAGCAGGAAAGAGATTAAGTTCCAAACCCAGGTGCACAGCTGAAAGCGGATACAGAACACAGAACAGTCTGTGATGGCAGTCAGTATCTTGAGAGTGCTGACAAGCATGCCCCCACATATACTGCAGCCACTTTTAAGCACAATGCTAGTGAACGCTTTGCAGAGTTTGTAAAATGGGAGAAGGATGTGCCTAGCTTAGTGCTTACAAGCACTGATCTCTTGTAGGAGCTAGAGTGGTCATGAAAACATTTCCTACTGCCTCCACCCTTCCACTGGATAAACATGAAGACCCATTAGGAGGTGGCTCCTGGGACTAGGACAGAATGCCCCCAATAGTTCTGCTAAATCAGACTAGGGGCACAGTCTAGCCCTGACCAGGTGCTCTGTTTTTGCCAATGGAAATGAGAAGGACTAGTGTACTGGCCGGCTGCTGTTGAACAACATAAGTGTTTCTCATATACAACCCCAAGTGCCAACAGCAAGCAGCCAGGGGTCAGGGACAAGGAGTGGCCGAATGCTCGGAGACCCCTGAACCCATTAGCTGGGTTCAACAGGACTTGCATTACCAGGAAAACCCTTTGATTAACACAATGGCATGACTGACTTAAGCCAAGATGGCAGGCTGTCCAAGCTCTTCAAGCAATTGTCTGAGCAATACAAGGAATGAAAAGTCAGGTGGCCTGGCTTAGTAATGTTGGTGCCAATCAAAACAACTGCTCTGGTGACAGACCTCAAACAGCAGGATTTGCTAAATGAGGACCTTAGTCTGCGACAGGGAAAGAAGTGTAGGCTAGCATCCACGGGGCTCCACTGGTCTGTTATATGGATACCTTGCCACATGTCCTGACTCACAAAGCCACCAGAGACCTTACATTAGAAGTGTGCAGGGCAACTCTGCAGGTTGCAGTATGCACTGTGGTCCAGTAACTGGTAACTATCTATTTCGTATTACAAGAGTTCGTGAGTCAGTAAGTAAAGGTTTTCCTTCCTCTCTTTTTCTCAAATAAGTAGTTACCGTAGTTGTTTTGTTGACCAACTTCCTAATGTCCTAACCTAATGTGGCATAGGTGGTTAAATTTACAGTATCTCTAGTTGCTGACAAGGAAGACAGATGGAGGAGGGCCTGGAGGAGGAGACACCAGCTCAGTTGTGCACTCGAGGGCTGACAGCAGGCTTACAGTCAGTGTGGCTGACTTCAGGAGATGTGCATCTGCAACCACAACTGCCGTTTAAATCATCTTAGGTAAAAAGCCCAGTCTTAGCTGTATACTGTTGACCCCTGAAGCATGAAAGGGCTAGGGGTGCCAAGCCCCCATGCAGTCAAAATTCTGAATATAAGTTTTGACTCCCCCAAAACTTAACTACTAATAGCTTACTGTTGACCAGAAGTAACAGCTGATTAACATGTATTTGTATATTATATACTGTATTCTTACAATGGATTAAGCTAGAGAAAAGAAAATGTTAAGAAAATCATTAAGAAAGGAAGATGAATGACATTGACACTACTGTACTGTACTGTATTTATTGATAGATCAGTGTATATATTACATGGCAGTCTAAATTTTTTTGATATTTCTAGCCTATGCAGTTTGTGTGTTTTTTCAAATTGTTACAAATCTCCAAAAATATTTTCAAATACATAAATACATTTACTGAAAAAGATCTGTGTATAAGTTGACCCACACAGTCCAAATCCATGCTATTCAACGGTCCACTGTAAACAGGAAGCATGGCTTGGACTGCAACAGACAGGAGGAGCTATATGAAGTCTGCCAGGCCTACAGCCTCCTTTTGGAAACCAACTTATCTACAGTCCCTAAAGTCCACATGACCCAGTCCAACCCTGGACAAAGCTGCAGAACAGGGAGCAGGCAACCATGTTAAGTGCAGCCTACCAGCTACACTACAGAACAGTGAGGAGCTGCCCACACTCAGTTCTCAGACTCACTTGAAGTGGGCTGCACAGTTACTCCAGAGCCCTGGGGTGTGACGTGGCTTAGAGACCAGAAGTATGTACCCCTTATGATCTTCTCACCAACTATACGAACTGGACATGTGAGCCCTGCTTTGCAGATGGGCGAACTAAAGACCGGTGAGGTACAGGCCTCCTCCCTAGGTCGCATGGCACATTAACATAAGCTCCTCCCACCCATCCAAGGACCTCCAGGGCATCTTCAAGCCTCTCTTCACCCGGTTTGGAAAATCATTTCCTTCCTTTGGCTAGTTTTCCAAACCTTCCTCACATCTGCAGACAAAGGTCTCTCTAAATCATGGGTGCGGCAACCTCTATGGCATAATTTGCACAGGAGGGCCAGGCAGATGAGGGTGTCTTATCTCACCACCTGCTATGCTCCCTTTTTTCGCCCAGTACAATCAATTCTAGTTAGTTCTGAACTTATCCCTGGCCTGTGGAAGGATGGCTGGGGGTGCAAGGGGTGCATGGGAGAGGTGTCGTAACATAAAATGGTGCTCAGTTTCTGTTATTTAGGATCTACATTGATGAAATATCATTTTCCCACTGCTACAGAACAAACAGAACTGTGATTTACAATTCACAGATTACGTAGCCAACAGAGTACCAGTACATGCTCAAACATCACCAAAATGTTTTCTTCGAAATGCTGACCCTAAGTACTATGTTAGACAACAAACTTACAGACTGTATCTACACTAGGGTCAACTAACAAGATATGCCTTCAAATCAGAGCCTCTGTGAGGAGATTTTCATACACTTCATAGACTGGCAGAAAGCCTTCAATATCAAAACTTCCTTCTGCTTTATACAAGGTGACATTTTAATATATCTCAGCCTATTTGTGTCATAATTGCACAGACTCATCTGCAGAAGAATTATTCTGAGGAAATTCCTTATTTGGCTTTTATTTATATAAACACGGTCATTTCAAGCCGTGGATTATTTATGTGCAACTGAGTATTCTGAGGATTTAAAATTAGAGCACAGTTTATAATACGTGTGGCTTTGGTTCAAACCAATCTACAAGACAGCACACACAGTGGAGAAGCCCAGGCCAGGGCATGGGGAAGCCAACGGGGTCACCTACCTGCGCACCGTCTCTGTTCAGCAGCAGTGCTTTTACGTTATCGGTGTGCCCTTTCAGCTTCATGAGCTTTGCACATGTTCTTGGATCCCATACCCTTAAAACCTGTGAATTTTAACAGAATATTATATAAACTAAGTATCTCCACCATCACATTTAAATGATAGATGACTTTTGTAAGTCAAGTGACCACCATTAAATTCTGAGAAGGAAATGCTATTTCTGCCAGCAGGCACTGTATAGGCTCCCACATTTCCAGGGAGGAGAAAGCCTTTCTAACGCCAGAAAACACACAGGCCTCCCCGACCCCATCTACCTCATTCCCCCACCCTGTCACCACACATGACAATAATTATATAATCATACTTCAATTTGTTCAAATAAACCTTTCTTCTAGCATCTACCATGCAAAACCATTGTCAATATACATAGTAGTTACACAGATCAAATTACTTTGGTTTCTTTGTTTTTTAGTGTTACAATACATTCCTTAAGGTCCCCCTTACCTTCTCAGTGGACCCTGAGACAATGATTGTTCCCAGTTGATTCATTGCCAGGCTATAAATGGAATCTTTGTTCCCACTTAAAGAAGAAGCTATTAAGCATAAACAGAGCTAAATGTTAACAAAATCATCAGCTGTTTATAGTCATTACTCAGCAAAAATTGCAAGTTTAATTGCAAGTTTAATTATTTGATTTAGAACATCTTATCGTTACGGTGCTAAGGAGATAATTCACAACACTAATATTATCAAAATTTATAACTCTTCTGGATTTGAGTATACATAAGCACTCAATAAATATTTGCTGAATTGCACTGACATTAAAAAATTATTCACATAAGTATTTCTGAAGATATGTGCTAATAAATATGAGAAATATCTCCAAATTATTTGCAAGTAAACACAAATCAAAACTTTTTCACCTACCAAATCAGATAAAAAAAACAAGATAGTATTTAATCCTTAAATAAGACAGTAAAATGACACCCTCATGTTACTTGTGGGAGGGTGATTTGGTACAACTCTTCTGGAAGGAAGTTAGGAGATGTGTAGCAGGAATCACATTCACGCCCTTTGATTCGAAACTACCAGTGATGTGAAAACACTTGCATATAAAACTATGCATACAGTATGATCCTAATTTTATAAAAAAGAATATAAACCAACATACCAAGAAATTATGAGTAAAGGAGTTAAGACATGTAAAATACATAGAAAAGTAATTGCTTGTAGTAAATGCTCAATAAATGTTAGCAAATGGTACTATTTCTCTAATTATAAGAAAAAACTAATGTGATATCCTCTCTAAACAATTCTAAGCAAGATGAATCTGCAGCAGGGTCTATAACCACTACGCCTGGCCTCTGACCTTGGGATAATATTGCTTTTTTCTCTGTTTCCTCTTGCTAGTGTCTCTTTGAGGCAGGTCTTACATCTACAGAGCAAAATAATGAACCATGACAGCCTCCAGCAGAGACCAGCTACTGAATCAATGAGATGTATGGTTGAAAAATCAAGAACAAGGGCAGAATATGCTTTAGACCTTCACATATGTCTTGGAAAAGAGGGCAAAACTATATTCAAGAAGCTATAGACACCAGTCTCCCAACTTGCCCTTCTTGGCACGTACTGGGTTATATTAGAATTGTTTTAGCTCTGTTGATGTGAATATTCCACACTGTCATGACAAACTGGATCTACAGGGGAGGGATCTAGACAGTTCAGGCCCATGTCCTTAGCACAGACTTCCCAGGCTAGGCTTAGCCAAAAATGTGCTTGAAAGAGTCTCCCTCCCTCCACTAGAGGACTCTAATGGGCAGGGCCAAGTGTGGGGCTGGGTCTCCAGTCTAGACTTGTATAGGTCTGACCTGGTAATCTGGTATCTCTTAGCTGATGAGGTATCCATGCTATTAACCTGTCTCTGAATCGCCTCTAGAAGCACTCTGGCCTCTGTGAACTCTGGAATGGGCTGGAGTTTTCTTTCTTTTTTTTTCTTTCAGTATCATTAATGTACAATTACATGAACATTATGGTTACTAGACTCCCCACCACACACCCCATTACAGTCACTGTCCATCAGTGTACTAAGATGCTGTAGAATCACTACTTGTCTTTGTGTTATACTGCCTTCCCTGTGCCACCACTCCCCACATTATGTGTGGGCTGGACTCTTTAGGGCTGCTCTCAAGGATCCCAAAAATTGGCCTGGAAACCTTTCCTTTCTTTCCTTTGGGTATTTTCCATTCTGGCCATTAACTCAAGGATTCTTAATATATAGTAAGATAAGAGTTAAAAACTGTCTACTTTGTCAGGCTTAAAAGTGTGGCTTAGGGTGAGTCAAAGCAGTAAGAGACTCTGCTGCCAGCAGGAGCTTCTACTTTAGTTGCACATGTACAGAAATAACCAGGCTACTCCTGGAGAAGTTACATTTTTACACTGCAGTGAGAAACTAGCTTCTTGTTCAATCATACTCTTTGGGGGCTAGAACAGTGTAGGTAGAAGCACTCTCAAAATAGAAACCACTGTCCTGATGCAAACCTATCAAGTATGTTTTATCAACCATTTTTTATTTATGTTAATTTACATCACTTTCAAAGAAATTCATTTCAAACACCTTACTTGTGACAGTGTTATTTGAGGCAGTCAAGGCTGTTAGGGTATTCACATCCCAAAGGAATATTTGTCTGTCCAACCCGGCCGATGCTACCAGTTCTTTATCCTTGGCATATGCTAAGGCCTTTACATAATCCTGTAACAGAACACACATGCTGATCTACTCTGCAGACCAGTAAGAAAATGAGCCACAGAAGGTACTGAAATCCCAATATTATGCTAAAGACAATGTAAATCATGTTAGTTGTCTTACCTTATGTGTTCTTAGCGTTGACATGCAAAATCCCTTATGCGCATTCCATACTTTCACTGTTGTGTCAGAAGAGGCAGATATTACTAGAAGATGCAAAGAATTAACCCCTCAGCAGCATGACTTAACCATCATTTTAAAGCATCATCTTAAGGCACTGTAACATTGTTTTAGACTATGTTCACACACACATATACTTGAATACTTACAATATTCCTAACATTAATTCTGACATGTTAATGCTCATAAACACACACACACACACACACACTCACTTATCTAAAAGCTCTGTCTAGAACCTATTATATTTTGTCTCAAGTACTTTTAAAAAATAGGGAAAACTTTTTAAATATTCCAGTTGAAGACACACTAATTTGATTGAGAAAAATTGCTGAGAGACTGTAAAACCGAGAAACAGATTTTACCACAGTAAAAACAAAATGTTACTAATAAAGCTAACAGAATACATACAAATGAATCTTTTTACATATAGTTTAAATGCAGACAAAACTAATCTGTAGTGTTTAGAAGACAGGAGAGCAGTTACCTTGGGGCAAGGCGTAGTGACTAAAAGAGAGGCAGAAGGGGGCTTCTAGTAATCTGTTTCTTGATAGAGGTAGTTTAGTAAAATTTTATTGAGCTATACTCTACAGGAGTGTGTGCTTTTCTGTCTGTATACTTCAATAAAAAGGCTTATGTAAAAAGTGAAAAATATATTGAATTGCATTAAAAACTTGCAGAAGCCCAACAATACAAAGAAATACTTACAGGTTTTCCCATTACAACAGAGTACAATGTCGTTTACCCAATCGGTGTGGTGTTCCATAGAGGCTATATATGGATCTTGCTGAAATTACAAGAAAAATCTTAAGAATATCATTCACTTATATGATACGATGAAATAGATTACAAATTATAGAAATGCTTAGATTCTTCAATTAATGTGACTCACTGCTTCTAAGGTCTTAAAATTGACAACTGAACTCAGAGCAGAGTTTCATCATTAGTTGGAAATCAATGCTTTGTTTCAGGGTTTTATTATTGATGAAAGCCTAGGTTTCGAGGATGAATTTTTATGCCTTGAGTTAGTGAAGGCAACAAGATCAGGGGATTAGTGGAAAGCACAGGATGTGAGCAAATGCGCAGGCTGGGGAACCCCACGTAGCAGCCTCTGCTAGAGCAGACACCAGGGGTGGGAGGCGGGAGGGGTGGTGAGGGGCCCCGCCTGACTGCACAGGGAGACAAGCACCTTTGCTTTGAACCTCCTACTGCTGCTTTGACCTGTGAATGACATGTTCTCCTCATGCCGTCTACCGTCCTTCAGAGTAGAAATGGAAGCCAAGGGCTAAGGAGTATGACCTGTGCCACCATTTCCCTGCAGTAACTTCCTACTCTTCTCATCTGGCTTCACTACTGCGACCTTTTAAAGAAGAGTATTTATTACGTCCTATAACTATGACAGGCAAAGATACGTCATGGGCAAAGAAGAAGCCCTCTACAAGCCTGTCTGAGAAATGATGCTATTCAATCTTACCAGAAAAGACCAGAACAAGGACGTGTGAGGGGAGAATAGGCATGTTTCTAGATTATTCCAGCTTAGTTCTTGTGTTTTCCTTAATATGTTTGAAATACTGTCAATTCCCAGAAAGCTGACATTCCAAATCAAATTTAAGTTCCAAAAAGCATTTCAAAGCCATAGTTTTCTTATTCTTGATGGTGGGCAACCACTCTTTCCACTGGTTAAAGATTCAAAGCCCCCTGGACCAAAGTCAATTTAAAGAAACATTATCCAGCAACTGTGCAACTACTGGTTCTTTCTGGACTCAGTATCCGATTTACAGAGCTTGCTGAAAAGACACAAACTTTCAAAACTACAAGGTCTAGCACCATGTTTCTCTCTGTCATTTACTAGCTATTTAGCCACGGATTTCTCTGCGCTTGTTTGCCCATCTATGAAATAGATCATTATAGTTGCCCCAAAGGAGTACTGTGACAACTAAAACTATACTAGATATGAAGGTGCTAAGGCTGTCTGATACAGTGCTGGGAGTTCAATAAATGCCCCTCTTTTCCTGAAGCTTCCTTGGTACTCAGAGCAGTTACAGGCATTCAAACAAATGCAAAGAGTGCCTCCTGTCTGAATTTATCCTTACATAGATTTAAATCCTGTTTCTTGTTGAGGAAGTAGACTTCAAACCTCCTGGAGAAGGGGAGCATGCTGTCTTCACATTTTCACACCAAGCTTATATTTGTCTAACAATGTCCTGTGGATTTTGTTGGTACCATAATCACTTTTAAATGAAGACATCAAGTACTTGTTCAAGATCAATTATAAATGTAAAAGCACACATACGTTTTTTTACTAAAAACCTTTTCAAGTATAGCATGCAAAAGGACTGCTCAGAAGCCTCTGGAGAACATATTTACAACAGAAAGAATTGTTGAATTGACAAAACTAATCCTCCTGCCCGGCCTCCTCGTTCCTTGGTAGCAGCGTGCTTAGCACACACCCAGTTTATGGGGCCCCTGCCTTAGCAAAACTCTTCCAACATTCCTCCAGCAGGGTTTCTCAGGACTTAGAGAATGTTTTTACACAGTGTACCCAGTAACTCAGTGCTCAGAGATTACATCTGACACCATGAAAGGTGCCACATCAGACCAACATTTACTGGGTTCAGATTTAAAACGTAAGCCCACCCACCTCACCTTGTGCTGACTGACACTCCATATCCTGATGATGGAATCTCGGCCTGCGGTGAAAAGCCTATTGAGGGCGGGATCCAGCTGTAGGGCATTGACTCCATTTCTATTGTACTTCTCCACTTCATCTCGAATAACATAGGAGACCTGACAAACATGTCAACGTTTGTTCAAGTTACGAAAACGTGCAAATAATAAAATGGAGCCTCCTAGTAACCAATCTGAAATTCAAAACCCTATGTTTTCCAACATAAAACTTAACTCTTCAATCCCACAAAACTGTTTTACACTACAGAGACCAAAGGGTTGGGGAGAAGAGAATGACACTAATACCTAGGCCAAGATCAGGAAGTCTGATGTGAACTTCTGAAGGCTTCCGAACAGGGCTCCTCTCCCATTCTTGTTTGTCTTCAATCCATTTCCCACAAAGCAGCCCAGTGGTCTTTTAAAAATGTAAACTGGAATTTGTCTCCTGCTGCTCCAAACCCCCTAGGTGCTCACTCCACCAGAAGCATGCTTTGATAGTAACTCCCCAACACAGCGTCATGCGCCTCCTCACCCCTCCTGCTGCTCAGGTTTGCTCAAGGCCCTGCACACACTGTGCTTCCCACCATCACACATGCCCATCCTCTCTGCTGGGAGGCTCTCCTCCTGCTCTGTCTGGCTAACTCCTACTGCAGTTTTTAGATTTTTATTTAAATGATGCACCCTCAAAAAAGCCTTCACTGACCTGCGAAGAAATGAGGTTCTGCGTTCCTGTAACACACTAAAATTTCCTTCTGAGTACTTTCTCCTACTTTCCTGGTAACCTGTCTGCTCCATGTGAAAACCCAAAAGAACCAACCAAAAGAAATTACAATTAAGAGAAAGTCAACAAAGTAGCTGGTAGCGAAAAGCAAAACTTTTCTAACCCAATGAGATAACCAATCAAGAATAAATGTGGGGGGAGGCATTTAATAGCAATGAGTAAATACCTGGAAATATATTTTGGAAGGAAGATACATGACAGACAAGAGAAGGTATATAAAAGAAAAACTTGGCTTAAGGAGACATGCTATACTGCAGCACAGGAAGATTCTGTCCTAAATTTGTGAATTCAATCCAACCCATTAGATTTCTTTTTAGAACTTGACAAAATACCTAGTACAATGTTTGTGTCGGTTTTTTTTGGTATCATTAATCTACAATTACATGAGGAACATTATGTTTACTAGACTCCCCCATCACCAACTCCCCTCCACATGCCCCATTACAGTCACTGTCCATCAGCATAGTAAGATGCTATAGAATCACTACTTGTCTTCTCTGTGTTGTACAACCCTCCCCATCCCCACCCTCTATATTATGTCTGCTAATATAATGCCCCCACCATTTCCCCCCACCCTTATCCCTCCCTTCCCACCCATTCTCCCCAGTCCCTTTCCCTTTGGTAACTGTCAGTCCATTCTTGAGTTCTGTGATTCTGCTACTGTTTTGTTCCTTCAGTTTTT